TGATAAATATGGCTGGTAATTGAATTAGAAAACATTCTGAGCTGTCAGCTAATTATGCTATTCAGACAATAGCTTTGTCCAAGTCTGTTTCATCTTTGACTCGCCTGAGTGACTTGCTCACTGGTAAGTGAAGTATTTCCATTTCTATGATAGAGGCATATATTGTACATCTCCCTAAATTCTGCTGTCTGTGCTTCCTCAGAGCAATATGTTGGCATTTCACATAATTACAGACAGTGTTGTATGAGCTTTGATAGGTATTACTTTTATTCTAATTTGTGATTCAGTCTAATCTTTGTTTCCATGTGTATGGAAACACATGTTATTCTAGTGCTGAGCTACTCTTTCAAAGGCAAACAACCAATTTCATTTTCCCTTTTCCAGCAACAGTACAGTATAACAATTTAAAAGATCCTAGTCATGCTTAGCATATTAAAGCTATTCATGGTAAAGACACTCATCTAGAACAGCAGCAATAGTTTTAAAAATGAGGAATTCAACCCAACTTGTTCTCTTTGTTTTAAAAAAATCACAGAATGTTCCTATCCCAGCTCAGAGGTGTGTATATTGACTGTTCCTCACTTCATCTTCTTGAAGAAATTAGTGGCTTTAGATGTTAAAGATAAATAATGTTAATTCTAAAGTAGAACCTATGCATCTTGAAAATACTGGTTCTGGGCTTCAGGTACATCTCTAATAGGTTCTAACTTATTGCTTCTGGTTGTTTTTGCACTTGTATCATCAAAATGCAAAATTTGAAGAATTTTTTGAAACCTTTAACGATTCAATTTTGTTAAAGAGAAGGCAGCTATCTTTTTTGCTCTGTAATGCAAACATTTTCACTTTTATGTGTTATAAACACCAGTTAAAATGATCAATCCATTGAAATTTTTTTTAGTCCTCATCTAAGGACATTTTCATAGACTTTTTTGAGAGAGGGAAAAGGAGACAGAGAGAGAAACATTGATGTGAGAGAGAAACATCGATCAGTTGCCTCCTGCACGTACCCCAACCAGGGCCCAGGATCGAACCTGCAACCTAGGTATGTGTCCTGACCTGGAATCAAACCTAAGGTCTTTCTATGTACAGAACGATGCTTCTACCAACTGAGCAACACTGGCCAGGGTTTCATTGAATTTTTTAAATATGTTTTTTTAATTGATTTGAGAGAGAGAGGAAAGGAAAGAAAGAAACATCGATGTGATGAGAGAGATAAATATCAATCAGGTGCCTCCTGCATGCACCCCTACCAGGGATCAGGGGATCAAGCCCACAACCTGAGCTTGTGCCCTGACTGGGAATCAAACCGGTGACCTTTCAGTGCATGGGAAAATGCTCAACCAACCAACTAAGCCACTCCGGCCAGGACTTCATTGAATTTTTTATTTCTTTTTCATCTATGTCCTTCCAGTCACCTTTGTATATGAACTTGCCTTCAGCATATGCCCACTTATTTTATTAAATAAAATTTGTCACACAGACCTCATGAAAGATGCAAAAATGTGGTCAGATGCCCTGTTAACATAACAGGTCGGTCCAGGTTCTTGTTGCAAAATACTGCATGACGAAGTCTTTCCTGTTGAATGACTAATTGAATGAAAATACCTTATTTCCTTTTTGTTCCTGGAAATATATTGTTTACTCATTAATTCCTGAGTTTGAGAAAATTCATGCAGTATATTGTCATCTGAAGATGCACAGGCAAATTTTGCTTGTTAGATCAATTTCACCATCATCATCAGAGTCTTGAGTGCTGCTGTTTCTCTTTTCATTCATCTGCTGTTTTGTCTAATACTTGTAAAATGTCTCCTGTCAGTTTTCTTCTCATTGCCATAATGGATTGCAATTTTTAAAATTCTGAATTCTCAACATGTTCAATGAAAGCAAAGATAATGTCTTCAGTTTTTCATACCTTATTTAATGATGATGCAATACTTTGGGCAATGCAATAAGAAAATTGAGCCCTAACCGGTTTGGCTCAGTGGATAGAGCATCGGCCTGCGGACTGAAAGGTCCCAGGTTCGATTCCAGCCAAGGGCATGTACCTTGGTTGCGGGCACATACCCAGTAGGAGGTGTGCAGGAGGCAGCTGATCGATGTTTCTCTCTCATCGATGTTTCTAACTCTCTATCCCTCTCCCTTCCTCTCTGTGAAAAATCAGTAAAATATATTTAAAAAAAAAAAAGAAAAGAAAATTGAAGGATAATGCAATAGTGATTATTTATTTTACTTTTGCATCATTCTGTTTGGTAATTTCATCATTTTCCTTTTTCTTATTACTTTAGTCTTGTTTTAAAAAGCATAGTTGTAAATAATCCAAGATACAGAAAAAAAAAATGAGACCACTAAGATCCTACAATATAGCTTAAATTTATAAAAAGGTACAATGGATCCATATGGTAATTGCAAGATAAAATTTTTTATTCTGTTTTTTAAAAATCAATATAATCTCTCTTTGTTCTTTGGAAAACCCTAAAAAGATTAACATTATGAAATAATAACCCTTCCAAATAGTAAGGAATTGTTCCAAAAGAAAGTCAAACACTCACATTGGGCCCAGTGGCCCTAATGTTATACCAGGGACTGAGCTGACTGGCAGTATGTGCTGACTCTGTTAATGAAGCTTTTATCGTGGAGTGGAGATGGCGCTAAGTTAGTGTTGGCTTTTCTCCACCACACTTAAGCTCGCAGGAGTTTGCTCCGGCTTACAGCCTTCTGTTCTGACCGTCCCCTTATCTGTGTAGCATGGGCAGAAAGAATACATTCACTTCTTTCTGGCTCAGGTAGGTGCTTTCTCCTCCTGTTCCTTGTGTTTGCAGAAGCTCTGGTTTATCTCGTGTGTCTCTTCTAAGCCTCTTTCTCTATCAGAGCCCTTGAACAGTTAGCTGTTAAAGTGAAGTGCATCTCTGTTGAGCACAGAGCATTGCCAGGATCCCAGTGGGGAGCCTTTCTAAGGGGTGTGTATGCCAAGCACGATCTCATTGTGTGCAGGCATGGCAGGAGTCTGCCAGACCCAGGGGTAGGCTGCCAGTGCAAATGCCACATTGACATGACATTTACAAGTTTAGAGTCTGAGAAAGGGCTGGCAATGGAACACCCTTTAGCTTCCTCATTTAGGGTGGCAGTAACTGGGCCAGCTTTGATGTTTTGACTCAAAAATCACAGTCACGAAGTAATGCTTGATACAGAATTTGAAACTATCACTGCCATATTTTCTGTGAAGTTATGAATCCTGTTAGCCTGTTCCCATGATACAGGATAAACCATAGTGGTTGAGTGCAGAATCTGGAATCAAAGCTGGATTTGACTGAGGGCTCTGTCACTTCCTGTGTGACCCCGAGCAAGTTACTTTATGAAAGCCTCAGGTCCCATCTATAAAATAGGGATAATATCACTTTCCTCCTATGGGTTATTGGCTGGATTAAATAGTATCTTTAAAAGTATAAGCACTTTTCCCGGTGTTTGTCCAATGCTAAATGTTCAATAAAAAATGCCCCCTAAAAAAAAAAAAAAAAAAAAGAAATTTGGGTTTTCATCTATTCCTATATTTTAATAACAAATATGTACATTTTATAACTTGCCAGGGACATGTCATGACATGAGCTTGTGTATAAGACTCTCTTTGACTTAAGAATTGCTAGAGCCCTGGCTGGGTAGCTCAGTTGGGTAGAGCATCATCTCGATACATCAAATGGGCAACCCAGGCTTCTTATCAGACCCAGAGAAGCCAGGTTTCCGCCCAAACCGGGTCCTCAGACAACTGCCGGGCGACCTTTACTTGCTTTGGCAGACGGAAAGTTTCCGTGGGAGAGCTCCTGCCGGACTGCCCACATCTCTGCAGACTGCGCCGGGTGCTCGGTTCTGGGCACTAACAGGCATTGCGTTACAGGATTAACTCCCGTGGGGCACAGCGCCAACATCGCAGGCCGCGCCTGCACCTTCACCCTCACCTCGGGAGAACAGCCTCCACGAGCTTCCCCAGTCGCATCCTCCCTAAAGCCATTTCAAGGAAATGAGAGGACAATGGTGCTGACCCCATCTGACCCGGTGACCCAGTGGTAAAATAGGGATAATATCACTTTCCTCCTATGGGTTATTGGCTGGATTAAATAGTATCTTTAAAAGTATAAGCACTTTTCCCGGTGTTTGTCCAATGCTAAGTGTTCAATAAATGTGAAGTATTTTTCAGAAACTCATAAGAAATTTGGGTTTTCATCTATTTCTATATTTTAATAACAAATATGTACATTTTGTAACTTGCCAGGGACATGTCATGACATGAGCTTGTGTATAAGACTCTCTTTGACTTAAGAATTGCTAGAGCCCTGGCTGGGTAGCTCAGTTGGGTAGAGCATCATCTCGATACATCAAAGTTGTGGGTTTGATCCCTGGTCAGGGCACAAGAATCAACCAATGAATGCATAAATAGTGGAATAACAAATCTCTCTCTCTCTCTCTCTCCTTCCTCACCCTCTCCCTCTCCCCCTCCCTCTCCCCTTTCCTTTCTCTCTCTAAAATCAATAAATAAAAATTAAAGAAAAAAAAAAGAATTCCTGGAACACTACACTGCAAGCCCAGACATGCTTTTCTTTATCTTTCTAGGAAAATGTAGTGCTGGAGTCAGGATCATTTGAGCGTCTCTACAGTTCTTAGCTGCAAAAACCATTGGGTATTAAGTATTTATTTCAGTAAATAGCAGTCCTTTGATTGGCCTGCAACTTGTCTGTGGTATGTTCTAATGCTAAGTGAAGACCGAGAGCTATTTTGAAGGCTATACCGTGACTTAATTGGGAGACTGTCTTTTTGGTGTGGGTAACAAGGTACTTAGTTTTGATTACTTTATCGTGGTCTAGTAGCTAAATAACAGGCTTTTCTGTGCTGCTTATATAAAACATCCTTACTATAGCACTTAGTTTATTTCCTTGAATCATTTTCAATACCATTAGTAAATTCTCTCAAATGGTAAAATTCTCCTTTCCCCCCACCCCCTTGTTTTTCAGATCTTCAAAGCTGCTGCGGGCATTTTATGTCCCTTTCCTGTCAGATCAGTATACAGTGTATGCAAACTACACAATCCTCAAACCCCGGAAAGCAAAGCAAATCAGGAAGAAAAGCGGAGGTTAGCAACACGTGTGCCTGTGGTCCCAGCGGACAGCCACCCTGTTCTAGTGGTTCCACTGGCAGGACTCCTTCCCAGTCATCACTTGTAACGTTGTAATAAAGGCCTCCTGACACAAATCCTGGAATCTGGGTGCTTTGGGCTGGTCAGTCACCCACATTCACTTCTTGCCTGAGTGTCTGTTCTGCATGTAACCTTTTGGCAGCTGGGCAGAGAAAGGCCCTAAGTCCAGGTAGATAGAGTGTTCCACATCTCATTGTTTTTCTTCTGTTTAATTATTCACTAGACCGGAGAAGAGCAGAATCAACCCATAGGAAGAATTGAAAGTCTCTGAACTGGGTGGCTGTGTCAAGCTGTTCTCCACTCTCTGGCCTGGCACCTGAGAACTAGCTCGCCTCTCCTGGGCCGTATGGGCCTCTCCACCAAAGCTGTGTGGCAGCTTCTCGCAGACCTTCTTGTTCAAACCCTAGTGCTGAGAATGAGCACAGCCAGTCGCCAACCTACATGTCCTTTCCCCTCCAGCAAGACTAAGTTTCTCTAAAGCGCTTCACAGGACGAGGCCTGTCCTGGAGGTACCTCAGGAAAAAGGCAACGCTGTGAGGAACTGTGGCCAAACTTCATTATTTAGAATGCCACTTATTCTCATTTTATTTCCTTTACAACAAACTGTAACTATGTGGATTGTTTTTTAAGTGTTAGCATGCTATTTCTTGAACTCAAGACTTCCCTGTGTAAAGTTATTAATAGAACAGTATACAGTGTATGCAAACTACACAATCCTCAAACCCCGGAAAGCAAAGCAAAGCAAATCAGGAAGAAAAGTGATTAGCAGCACGTGCACAGGACATATTTGGAGAAAATTAATTCTATCAATTGGTAGAGTTGGATAATATCACATTTTTAAGTAATGTATTCTGTGGCCATTTCTGAGGAAATTAAGAATTTCCCTTTTTTAAACAACCCTAGTGAAAAAGACCAGTGTATATTTATAGCAACTATTTTTGAGTCTGTATATTGCAAAGCACATCCTGCATGGGGCGCTTCTCATCAGATAGGCAGTTATAATGACCTAATATTTTAATAAGTGTGTACTCTCTTTCCCTTTATATACATTCCCTTTACATACATTATTTCATAGTTTATAAAGCATTATGCACTATCTCATTTGATCCTCAGTCACAATGTGAAGTAGATAAGGCAAGTGTTTTTATACCCATTGTACAGATTAAGAAACTGAGATTACTGGGGAAGGTAAAGTGACTTGCCCAAGGTCACATAGCCAGTAAGTAATAGCACCAGGACCAGAACCTACGTTGCCCAGCTTCTCATCTAGTACTCTTCCATATTTCCTCACTTGACTATGAAAACAGTACTTGAAAGAATGATGAGGTTGTCCAGAGACGAGATTGATAATCTGACTTTCTGTTTTAATGAAGAATTTTATCTGTTTTTTCTTTGAGTTCTCCGGAGCCTCCACTGTCTGTTGGTTAGACTCTCATCACAGCAGTGCTTCGTGGTCCCGCCTGGCCGGTGGCAGGAACACGGTGCTCGTGTTTGGAAGTCATGCTCCTTGGTAGCCAGGCAGGATCCAGTAGTAGTTCATTTCTCTAGTCAATCTGGGTCACAGCATAGGTGCCTTATTTCCCCAAGGGTAGTTGTGTCTAGTATCTGCAAATCGGTTGAATCTATTTTTCGGAGTTTCCATCGTTCATTTTTCAAAGAGAAGGGCTTTCCATAGGAACTGATCCCAAGAGAGGAGAAAAGAAATGATAAGGGAAGGAATGGCTAGTGGCCATATGAAGGTCTCCCCTCTGAAGGAAGATTGGGACCCAGTGGAAGCACTGGAGAGGCAACAGGTCTGGGCAATAGAGGGTAACTGGAAAGTGAAGATAAACTGGGGTCCCACTTGCTGCTTTAAAGACTTCTGCCATTTAATTCTCAATCCTTGATGACTTTTTCCAAATATTGGCACATTTGGTCTGACTACAGGATAGAGAATTTTCACTGAAATATCTTGCCATACCTGCATTAATAGTGCAGTGAGTTGCTAAAGCCCTTCACTTTTTGCAGAGGTGAATAGGAGAGTTCCGAAAGGGAGGCCCACGATGAGTGCTTTTTCTAATTGCAGTGGCACAACGATGATCTATTTGATCATCTTGCATGTGGGAAATAAAAAGCCTTCTGAGCAGGAACTTACTATAATATAGCACAAACAAAGGTCGTGATTGAGCCAGGGATTCCTGGGGAATATCAGTTCCTGTTCCTTTTAAAACCTGATTTTGGTTTTCTCTGTTCTACGTATATCTTTAATGAGAGCACAATAAACTGCAGGACACTGTGCCAAATGCTATAGGTCAGGTTAGAAAAAAATGAATGTTTTTTGTTATGAAGGCATTGTTCATGTGATATTTATATAAACACATTTATAAATCTCCATCTCAGCAGTACAGGGGGGTTAGCTTGCTGGGGAAAAGTTTCAAACACCTGGTCAGAGTAACATATCTCCTCTGGAGAATCAGTGTTCAGCATGAGCTGTCCCTCTGCCCATTATAAGAGTGAAGTGTCTGAGGTACTTATTTCTCCATAGATTGTGCAATATCAAGGAATGAAGGACTATAGATTGTTTGTAATAGCCTTTGATTATGGAGCTGAGTGCGGGAGTGGGTGTACTTGGCAATACCAGGACTCTGATCTCCGATCTCTGAAGCAGCCGGATCTGAACGCCGCATCTTACAACACTGAGTCCCATTGCTGAACCAAACTGTGTAATAGGCATCTATTGCCAAAGTTTACCTGTCACCGGGTAGTTGTCATCTGATAAGAAAGAAGACTGGTAATTTTACTTATTTTTTATTTTTTATTATTTGAGAGAGAGACATTGATTTTTTTGTTCCACTAATTTATGCATTCATTGTATGTTCACTGACCAAGGATTGAACCCCCAACCTTGGCATATTGGGACGATGCTCTAACCAACTGAACTACCCAGCCAGAGGAAGACTGGTCATTTTAATCTCTTGGGATAATCACAGAAAATTGAAGCCCATACTCTTTATTATTGAACTCAAGTTTAGAAACATTGTTTTAAATCAAGGTGGTTCTTGATCCCAACCATTTATTTGGGTCGTTTTGTTGTTGTTTTTGTTTGTTTGTTTGTTTTAGTTTGGAGTTCTGGGAAAGGACCTTGAAAACTCCATGTGGTTCTGCAACATTAGATCTGGAGTGACCATTTGGGCAAAGCACCAATGGCAGTCCTTGATCGTGTTTTGCATTTCCTGGGGTTTATTGAAATAAGAACTCACTGTGATTGTGCTGCCTTCTGGGCAGTGCCAGGCAGCTCTGCTTTTAATTTGGTTAATTTTATTTTCTCTGGAGAAGGAAAAGAGGCACAATTTCATCTTTGCCTGCACAGGCACATTAAAGCTCATGTGTTAATTCATTCTTACGCTCTTACATTAAATTACATGCCTTGGTAAGTCAGTAAATGGACATGTGTTCAGCTTTAATTTTTTTGCAAGAGAAAGATCAGACTTCCGTATGGCATTGTTGTATTTCAGAGGCTCTCTGGTGTTTCAATAAATCTAAGTGAATGTTGCCTTCAATTTTTCCAGTGCATATAACCAGGTGGTCATGCTGCAAATGCTGTCAGGAAGCAGTCCAGTGCTGGAGCAAGAGATTGTTCAAGTGATTTGTCTTCCTGATCCTTGTGCTTTATTTCACGTGTCAGTGTTTACATTGCATACTTATATTTTCTGTGAAAGAAAAAAGTTAAATAAATCTTGGCAGTTTGATTTTCCTTTTCTTAAAGTGATATTTTCTCTTTTACCTTTAGCTTTTAAATCTTGGTGGAGATTGGAAAACAAAGGAGCTCAGCTCCTTCCATCTACCTCACTCCTACTCTTCAGTGGATAGACCTGCCTTCTATCGTCTAAATAGCTCAAAATGCTTATTCTAAAAACTCTAGGAAGAATTCTTTGGGAAATCCAGTGAGGGTTGGTTTTATTTTATTTGTGGAAAAACCATGCACAGTAGGAATTACTCAGTGTATCACTGTTATAACTAAAAGAGACTTTCAGGGTTTCATCTTATGTTTTGGGGGGGGGTAAGAATTTCCATCAAAGTGAGGATCTTAATATTCATAGCAATGTGGATCTAATAATATCTAACATTTAGGTAATTTACCCCTTTGCCAGAAGTTGTTAGGAACAAAAATAACTTCTTTGTGAATGAATTCCTAGTATCATTCTTACACCTTGCATCTTATAGCCAATAACTTCCTGTAGCCATCTGGTTTTATACCATTGGTGGTTAATTTTCTTCCCATAGGACCCAAAAATGCCCATGAAACTTAGTTTGATTTCTTTCTCCCAGGTTGTTTTACAGATGGATGCTTTATTAACATAATTATTTTCCCCTGTCTAGAAGGCTCATCCTTGTCTCTGTTTGTTACTTTTACTTACAGGGACATCTTGAGTCTCCCTCTCCTCTAAGAAGCCTTTCTAGACTTCAGACCCCTGTGATTACGTCCATTCCCTAACTCTCTCTAGTACCCAGTGTCTTTCCTAAGGACCAGAGGTCCTCAAACTTTTTAAACAGGGGGCCAGTTCACTGTCCCTCAGACATTCCACACATGCGCACTGCGGGCCCGGGACGAGTCAGCTGCTAAGCAGGACAGGCAGCGGCGGCAAAAACACCCGGTGGGCCGGATAAATGTTTTCGGCGGGCCGCATGCGGCCCACGGGCCGTAGTTTGAGGACGCCTGACATAGACTATTAACATGCATCCCTTGCAAACCTGTCTCTCAAGAGCATTGCTGGCATGTCTAGGGGCAAAGACCGTGTCACACAAGTACACAGTTCTCTGAGCATGTTTATGGACAATGAAGAAAGAAAAGTAAGAAGAAACCTGAAACTAATATACAACTGTCGCTTTCAATTTGGCAGATTTCTAGACCACAAAAAATACAGTAAGTCATTTGATACGTCCTATGTTACCCAAGGGCAACTTGGAAGATGTGAATGAGGCTTGACATTGTGTGTAACAGCGGCAGATTCCTCGTAGTACCTTCTAGAACAGCCGTGGGCAAACTACGGCCCGCGGGCTGGATCCGGCCCATTTG